CATCCATCCATCCATCCATCCATCCATCCATCCATCCATCCATCCATCCATCCATCCATCCATCCATCCATCCAGTCAGTTTCAAGGCCATCTGACTCCTTAGTGGCTCTGGGTGGCTTAGAAATAAAAAAGAAAAGCAGTGCTTATAAAAAGATCATAGCCAACCAGAAGAATGAAAAAGCCAACTATAAAACTGAACTTGACTAATGAGGGCTCCAAAACCACCCTACCCCAAGGCCTGGGATGACAACCATTCTTTAGTGATTTCATGAATGTTATTAGGGTGGGAGCTGTATTGGAGGGATGTTATTCCAGAGGACAGATGCTGAAAGAGAAAAGGCGTAATTCCTGGGTCCTGTAAGATGACACTGTTTAATTGACAGGACCTGGAGCACATCCATCTTGATTAACTGTACCAGACAGACAAAAACAATTAGAGATAGGTGTCTCAGATGGCCAGGCCCTATTCTATGAAGGGTTTTAAAGATGATAGCAAGAATAGTACTTGGCTACATTGTAAACAGTCAGTGAATAATATCAATTAGAGTTTGTGGACAACCCTTTAATGTTATGATTGTCAATGTTGATGCTCCAATCACCGATGCAGAAGAAGAGAAGTTGATGAGTATTATGAACACATTGAATTTGAAATTGACAGAACATGCAAGCAAGATGTGCTGCTTTTGTTGGAGACTGGAACACCAAAGTTGGAAATATTAAAGAGTAAAATGCAGTTGGACTGCATGGCTTAGGAAAACAAAATTAAGCAGAACAACTTATCAATTTCTGCCACTCCAATGATTTTTTTCATCACTGTTAGACTTCAAACAACCAAAACAAAACTTATATGCATGGACATCACCAGATGGAGTACAGAAACATCAAACTGACAATGCTATTGTAGAAGGAGGTGGAAGAGTTCAATTATAACAGCAAAGACATGGCCAGGGGCTGACTGTGGAATAAGTCACAAATTGCTCATGTGCAACTTCTACATTAAGCTAAAGTGGAAGAAAGCCAAGCAGCTTCCACAATATGATCTTGAGCATATACCCACTATTTTCAAGGAGAACCTCAGGAATTGCTTTGAAGTCCTGAATCTCATTAATCAGCAATCAGAGGATCTGTGGAATGAACTTAAAGAAATTGTTAGGGATGAATGTGAAAAGAGACTGCCAAAGATCAAGGAACAGAAGAAAGCAAATTGTATGTGAGAACAAATCATGGAAATTGACATGAACAGAAGCCAAAGCCCAGAAAGGCAATAATCTCAGGAAGGAACTTAACGAAGAGTTTCAGAGAGCTGTTAGAAGAGACAAGAAGCAATACTACAGCAACATCTGTAAAGACATTGGAGATGGAAACAGACATGGAAAAACAAGGAAAGTCTTCCAAAAGATCTCTGAACTCAGAAAGAGGCTCCAACCTCAAATTGTTATGTCAAAGGACTCCAATGAACAGGTAGTAACTGATTCAAAGGAGATCAAAAAAGGCAGAAGGAATATACTGACATTCTGTACACTAGATATGTCGACATCCAAGATATCTTAGAAGATAATCCCTACTTACAGTAACTTCTAGCACTAGAAGATGAACTTAGAGCAGCAGTCTGGTCATTACCAAGTCAGAAGGCTACAGGAATTGATGTCTACAGAAATATGGCAAGCAACAGAAGAAGAGTCAGTAAAGATTCTAACCAAGCTATGCCAGTAAAATTGGAGAATGATTCAATGGCCAATAGATTGGAAGAGGTCAATCTACATACCAATACCAAAGAAAGTAGACTTAACAGATTATACAAACTATTGTACAGTATCCTTAATTTCACATGCTAGCAAAATAATCCAACACAGACTAGAGCCCTACATGGAAAGAGAGATATCAGATGTTCAAACTGGATTTAGAAAAGGCTGAGGAACACAAAACATTATTGCTGATGCATACTGGATAATTGACAAAGTCAAAGAACAGCAAAAAGAGATGTGCTTCATTGATTATAGAAAGGTCTTTGACGGTGTTGATCATGTTAAGCTCTGCAATGTATTTAAAAAATGGGAATATCAGAACATTTTATTGTTCTCATGCAAAACCTATACACAGGTGAGGAAGCCACAGTACAGACAGAACATGGAGAAACAGACTGACTTCAGGTTAGCAAAGGAGCATGTAATGGTATGTGGAAATGAGCTTGGGAGACAGGTGGAAGAGCCTCAGTAGACAACAGTCAGAGAAGAGGCAGCTGAAGGAATGTGGACATAGCAAACATCTCAGAATGGACCCTTCTTAGTTTCTTGGATTGTAAAGATGAGGTGGGGGGAGAGATGTACTTTCAGACTTGCAAGATTCTGTTAATATAACCTTACAGTAAAGTTAGAGCTAATACTTCTGGGTGTGCTTCTTATATGAACTACCTCACAAGGCTGAAAGAGTGAGACAAGGTTGTATACTCTCCCTTTATTTATTCAACCTCTATGTGAAAAATATATTGAGGGAAGCTAGATTGGAAGAAGATGAGCGTGGTTTTAAAACTGGAGGAAACATCAATAACCTGTGTTATGCTGATATCACTACTGTAATAGCTGAAAATCTAAATGATCTGCACACTCCAGTAATGAAAGTCAAGGAGCACGTTGAAGAAAATGGGACTAAGTTGAAATATAAGGAAGACCAAGCTAATGACAACCTCCCTTAGAATTAACAGTGAAGATATTGAAATGAGGATAGCTTGTGCCTTTTAGGATAAACAATCAATAGTAAAGGAACCAGCAATCAAGGAATATTCTGCAGGTAGAGTAGCCATTAAGGCTTTGGAAAAAGATATTTATATGCTGGGATGTGTCTATATCTACAAAGATCAGAATTAGAATTATGAGGCAATGGTTCTTTCCATGACACTATATGGAAGTGAACGTTGGACTATGAAGAAGCAGGATAGGAAGAGTATTGATGCTTTTAAATTCTGGTGTTGGAGAAGACTCCTGAGAATACCATGGATAGCTAAGAAAACAAACAAATGGATCATCAAACAAATCAACCCAGCATTCTCACTTAAGGCAGAAATTACCAGGCTCAAATGATCATACTTTGGACACATGATGTGATTAACTAGCTCTCTGGGAATCTGGGAAAAAGTGGAAGGAAAGAGAAGAATAGGATGACTAGCAGCAATGTGGACCTGATGGACCAAGTTAGGGACAAATCCTGCTGGAGAAAATCTGTCTATATAATCATTAAGAATTAACACTGACTTGATGGCACATACAGTAATTAATCAATCAATCAAATGGCTACTGATAATGGCATTTGCTCATGGCACTATGATTTCTTTTACTCTGGAGGATTTGTTTTGGTGTCTTTTACTAAAAAGTTGCTTTTCCTTGGTATGCATAATGTGGCTGGTGACAGAACCCACTAGCGAGCTCTGTGCTATGAAGCCTCCACTGGCGTTGAAGATAGGCACCATCAAATACTGATAAAAGACCGTGAGTGGCATCACAGAATAACACCCACAGTTACTACAACAATGGACTTCCAGTTCCCCCCATTGCGCTAGACTCTGCTCTTCCAGACTGGGACTGCAGAACCACCTCCATGTCCACAGATGAACTACACAACAGCATGTCTTCTTCGAACCCAAAGGACTACCATATATAATGGAATATGATGACATCATCTGGTTACCTGCTGTCACTGTGTATTGATTGGTTCCTCTGTGAAAAGTTATTCTTATGTCAATGCCCACATACAGTACTCTATATTCTGGATAATGGTAGCGCTGTCATTGGTATAGGTTACAGCCTACTTTGCTAAGTGTATTTCAAATGTATTGTGCTAATATTTCACTGGGGCTAATGGCAACTACCATAATGTGACCAATTTACTTACATAATTATTGTATGCTCATTTCAGAGAAAGCATATTTAAATAATACCAGGATTTAGGGGAAGTTGCTCAGTTAATTACAAACTGAACAATCTGTGTATATTGGCAACAGTAGGACTTATCTGACTGGTTGCTTAGAGCAGAAGGACTATAAGATTATTTACTGATCTCTAGATACAAAGGTGCTGCTTACTGGAACGTGATGTCTGTGTCTGGCTTTATTTCCCAGTCCAAGTAATGTCCTTTAGTATAATCAGTATCAAGTTGTAACACTGGGAAAATTTCCTGACTTAATTTTGCTGATAAACTGTGAGAAAATAATTGATTATAGGGCTATAATCCTGTTAAAAATGCATCCCATTAATATTAACATGCATCTCCTTTTTGTTAATAGAGGTTAACTAAAACACCGATTGAAATATTAACACAATTTTAACATGAAAGTTATTTTTAAAAAAAGGACCAAAGGCACAGCATAACATTCTTTTTCAAAAGATTCATCCTCTGCAGTGTATAGTTTGGTGGAGATGATATCTTACTGATATGACATTTCATTTGGACATTTATTTTCTGCACAAAAAATTATTTTCCATATATTCAGTTTGTAGAATTTCCAGGTAGGACTGGGAAAAGTCACTTCTAAAGCCCTGATGAGGTGTTGCTAGTGAGAGTACACAATACCTAGTTAGACAGTCTAAGGTATAAGGAGGTTTGCAGATCCCAGCTGATAGGGAGAAAAAAGAGAAATTCTTCATGCTGTTGGCATCTGTTGAGGTTCTTCAGATATGGGAAATAAGTAGATATGTTTTTGTGCCACATGGAGCATAGAACCCCAATTCTCAGGTAAAAGGAAGATGGGCCATATCTTTTCTAAAAGCATCTGTAAATGTATGGTACACAAATAGAAATTTTCTTTGAAATGGAAACACATCAGCAGAGCTTTTGCACTGTATTTGCATTGTAAATGGGTAAAAGTGACAGAGCAGAGTGTATATTGCATATTATAATTACACCAACCTCTATCACAACGCTCTCCACTGTAGCTTGGATCACATTCGCAGTAGGGTTCCCCTTGTGCAGAGATCTTACACTGCCCATGGTTACACTTTAGAAGTCTGCAGGAGTTGGAGGAATCATTCTTTCGATCACAGTTCATACCTGTGTAACCTTCTGTACACTTACATGTGTAAGCAGAGTTGGTGGGGATGCATTTTCCATGAAGGCATCTTATAGAAAAAAAGAGAGAGAAAGAGAAAACATTGTCTGCTGGATTTCAGATTGTTTCATCCTACATTTGTCACACATTCATTTCATTTGTAAGGAAACGTACGGTGAAGGAAACTTACTTGTTACCAAGGCAGGGATCGTTAACTTCTTGATCACATAGTGAACCTGTCCAGCCTGGATGGCACTCACAGACCACACTTGTCTTTTCAAGAGAGCGGCAAATTCCATGCTTACAGATGTTACAGGATTTGCAACCAGGAAGGACTCCTACTGACTGATGTGGTAGTTCTTTGAAATCCTGGAGCTCATTATTAATTCGGACATCATGAATGCACCCATGAAAACCACTTGGTGTCCTCTCTGTACCCTGCCGTAGTGAAGACAGCCCTGTAGATGTGGGAATTCCTGCAAAGAAAGTCACAAAATGCTTTATGTAATATTTTAGCAACTCCATGACATTTCACTTGAAAGTAATGACATGGTGGCAAAAGATTAGATAAGCAGATAGCAGCAGTTTATCAATGCACAATATGCTCAGGGAATGTTTCTCTTCCATGCCATCATTTACTACATCCTAGTTTTTCATCTTATTCCCTGGCCCATAGCACTTCAAAAATGTTTGCCAAAACAAAAGCAGTAATTTGCACCAGATTTCTAAACCCACACAAAGATATAAGTCTAAAAAATAATAACATCAACTCACTATTTTGCTGTGGGATAGCATCACCTTTCAGGCAAAAGGGTTGGAATCTTCTTTTGCAATTATCTCACCCCTCATCTAACCGTCTTCTATTGCACAGATGTAGAGGTCTTGAGATTATTATCTAGTCTGACCCTCAGTTGAAATTCTGTAGAAAGCAGAACTCACCTCCAATGTAGAGTGGAGTGTCCTGACCAACCACGGGCTGTTTCTGAAGTTTGCCAAGGCTTTTGGGAGTGCCTTTATCTACTACTAAGTTCAAGGTCTGGTTCATCATTACCAGCTCCACACTGTGAAACTGTCCATCGTTTACTGTTTCCACACTTTCAGAAAAAACAAAAGAAGGGTATTAGAACCTATGATAAACAGCTTTTGCAATTATCTGATCTCAACATAATTGCCATAAGAAAAATAGAAATGTAAGAGTTAATATACGCAGTTAGAATAAAAGAATTAGAAAAATAGCAGTAAAGAAGAATAAACTGTCCTCTCCTATGCCAAACTCAATCCAATTTTAACACCAAAATACAAATTCACAAATTGTTTATTACTTGCAATTGTACCCCTAGTTATAAGTGCTCATGGAAACCATGTTTTTCATGTTCTGCTTTATAACCATTAGGATTAGAAAACTAATTTTTACTTGACATATCCTTAAATGGTCTTCTCCGACTAAGTGCCCTTATCATGTTTTGTAACACAACTCTCAGAATTCCCAGCCAGACTTGGAACTAGGGGCAGAAATTATAACCCTCATGGCTTTAAATATCCAGGGCAATTTGAATCCTTCTGTCTTACTCCCCCCTTATTTTTGTTAACTTCTGCCTGAAGAAGCATTCTGGAGAATTTGAAAGCTTACATCCACTTCTATCTTAATTTGAATGGTCCTAACAGAGGTAGCATCTAGCTAATTGTGTATAGATTTTATGCATTGTTCCCCTATTACCAGTTCAGCTATGATTACTTTATACTTAGTTTAGAATCATATTTGTCTCCCACTGCCCCTTTGGAATTGGAATAGATTTCTTGGGTGGAGAGAAGGATAAAGTCTGAGAATATTTTAGTGGGATTGTAGCAATACATATAAAAATGAATTGAAGAATTTGCTGTGTTACGCAGTATATGGTTGCAAACTGTTGTGGGAAAGGCTGAAACAAACTGACTTCTTTTAACTAAGGGCATTCTGCTTTATGCTTGGCTACGTAGATACTCACTGACTGCCAAATGTACTGGCTACACACACACTACCATCTCCAGAGCATTTAAGATTTCTAGAGAGGAACCTGTAAGAACAGCTGCTTCCTTAGGGGTGATTTTAACACAGCTACCTAAACCTGAAATGGAAATTGCACTTTCTTGAAGTGAAGAAAGCAATATGAGTGACCTCTGAAGTATGAGTAAAATCAGTTCTGAAACCAAAACAATCTCCCTGTACTTCTCCTCTTATCTAAAGAACTCCCATCCATAGTCATTTGTCAGAAGATAACACCGGCATTCAGCAGTTGTTGTTTTTTTTTCAGGCAAAAGCAAATAAGCATAAATCATCAGTTCTCTACCTAATATGGCATTTTCAGATCAATGTTTAAATGTTCTGATTTTAGCAGAAGATTTGTATGCCTTGACAAAATAGGTAAACAAGCAGAACTAAATCTCCCATATTTTTAAGATCTTTGAGAAAGCCTACACATTTGTTAACATTAAAATTGACAATCGTTAGATTTCTTTTTTAGGGGAAAAAAAAGAATTCCAATAAAACTGATTTTTCTAACTTTTAGGAACAAAAAGTCCTTTTTCCTTCCTTCCTGTTTAACTCAATACCTTTCATCTTTAATTAGAATGCAAATTGGAAGACAGAACCAGGCTTATTCTTTTTTTTAAAAAAAGCTTTGACTAATTGCTACACAGTTTACTGAGTTTATTAAATTCTGAAGATCAAACTGGTTTGCCTGTCCAACAAAGGACTTGCTGAAAAGGCCCTAGCTCAAATTTCTGTACAGAGGCCCTCGTCTGAATCAAGGAAAGGTGCTGCCTTTAAGGAAGGCTATTGTCAATTATTTCTGTCCAGAATGACAGGAGGACATCTTTTGAAGGGCATTTACTTAATAAAAGATCTTAAGGGCATACTCCAACTAAGGGACAGTATCTCAGGAAGTTAAACACTGATTCTGATATGAATCAGGAAGTTAAACACATGCTTATAACTCTGTCATTTTCAACAAATGGGACACATAACTGGAACATTGGCTGGCTTGTGCATCAGTACTGTCAGGGTGCTAATGCTTCAAGAGAAGCCTGGAAATCTGCGTTTTGTCCAATCAGCAACTGCTGTCCCCTTGAAAAGACAACACTGGATTCAAAGAAAGCATTTCCTTTCAAGAAGATAAATGCTTATGTGTTTCTTTCTAGAGGTTCTGGTTTGATGATGCTGCAGGAGAATCTACAATAATCAGAGACAGTCAGAGACAGTGGCTTGGCGAGAGATTAATGGAAGAAAGCCACAGACACTGAACAGTGCACCACAGCTGAGTCAGCAGCACACAGAGGCTGTGATTTTGGGAGAGAAAAAGGCTATTCCCTACAACAAGAAGGTTGTGTTAAACTTGGAGCTGATCTAGGAATCAGGTGTCCTCAAACTGATCCTTCAAATACAGTGCCACAGATGAAAACATCCAGTTCACCATCAAGACTTAATTACAAAAGATTACAGTCAACTAGATATGCACATTACTTAAAACACAGGACAGCAATTTCTTAGAGTTCCTACACCAGTGGCAATATGATTATAGATAACACTTTCAGTAGTAGTTACAGATAGTTATAACTTTATATATAAGAGACAAGTACATGAGCTTGTGAAGTACAGCTAGAGTACTTAGGTGCAATCTGACACTTCATTTCTAGATGGCAGTAGAGCATCACAAAAATATAATTTTAGACTGAAAAAGCAAAACAAAACTGTACTGCTTGCATATTACCCAATGAACTACACAATTACTTCAAATCGGAATGTAAACAGCATGCCAGAAGAACTGAAGTTAGGGCAGGATGAACTACCACCCAAATTAAAGCTTTCTAAGAAGGGAGAAGAATGAGGCTGATCCCGACAATTGACAAAGTAACATCTGATCAATTGTAAATGGTTTAGGATTGCAAACATACCTAGCACTCCTTCAAAAGTTATTTTGGTAAGAAATTAAGTAAGAAATAGCAATATGAGGATGTGCGTGTGAGAGAAAAAGAGAGAAAAATTAAAATGGGAATTGGATTGGTTCCAATTTTTGTGTTTGGATTCATAAAGCCAAAGCTTGTCTTAACAACTGTTTGCCAACCAATTAGAGACAGTGCTCTAGTTTTCACTTTGGGCTAAATTCCAACAAACCTATTAAAATGCTGTACGCTAAGTAGAATCGGCCTTGTTTAGAATCATTCTTCTGGAATTCACAATATATACTTTTTAAAACTTATTGAAATATAAACACTTTTCAAGATAGCCAGCTGTATTTTATTTGACATTTCCAAGAAAATAAAATAGCCTTTATTCCATCTATATTCAAAGGGAGGAAAAACACCCATAAAAACCAAATGACAATATATGGAAAATAGCTGTCAGCAGCACTTACCAAAGAGAGGACTAGAGAATACAATATAGGTCCTATACTAAGCCACTTTGATAACTCTCACCAAGTTCTCAGAGAGAAATCAAATTAAATGACAGATTATAATTATGACTCATGACAGTGTTGTTGAGAGAACAGAACTGACTATCCAGGAAGATAATAGAAGAATAATAAGATTATTTATCATTGTATTACCATTATGGCTTTATTCACTCGTATGCTTATTCACAAATTGTTCTTGCATTTGTGTACCATGGGCTTATTCTCCTAATAAACTCATAATAATACATTCTCACAATAGTAGTGTTATTCTTATTAAAATACATTCTAAAAGACATATAGTAAAAAGATTGTTCCTAAGAGCAAAAACTGGAAATATTGATTGGCTAATATTGGTCATTCATAATATTTGCTTTCAACAACCACAAATCTTTATTATGGCCTTTAGGCCTGAAAACAGTACACAGAAGTATATAAAACTAAAATTATTAATAAGACTAAAAAGGGGGTATTAATGTAATAAAATTACAAAACAATAAAATTAGTATAATAGTAATATTAAAAAGCAAAAAAAAAAAAAAAAAGCAGAGACATCACCTTGCCGACAAAGATCCGCATAGTCAAAGCTATGGTTTTTCCA